AACTTGTTGAAACATTTATCTCCAACAAAAATGTCATAAGTTTGAGTCCTCATCTTCCAACCAAAATATCATTAGTTCGAATTCTCGTCCGCACGTATTATATTAATATATATATATACACACTTTCATCTTTTGTTCATATTAGTTGTATAATTTTGAAATATCCATTTTGATCAACTTACTTTTAAAAGAGTGACTATTTTGACATTTTTTTTTTAAATTTTTGTCTCCTTTTTTCCAATCATAGTTTTTTTAAATATCTGAAATGTCCCAATCCACCGACTAATCTCAAGCGACAATTTTTTTTTTTTATTTCCATCACAATTTTTAGCACAATACTTCACGCATAAAATTTATCGAAATGTAGTCATGAAATTGTATTAGAATGTTTTATAAAATTTATGTTAATATTTTGTAAATAGAGATCAAAATGATCCCTTTTCAAAAATATAATAATTAAACCTAACCTTTTGAAAGTACAATAATCAAAATAAATAAAAGTTAAAAGCATTGGACCCATTTAAAAAATACAAGAGATACAAAAATTAACAAAAATTGAAAGTAGACTAGTAAATAAATCTTATATTTATTATTTGTAGTTAGATGATATTGACATATTTTTCTTTACATAGATTTTCTAGTAACTGACAAAAAAAAAGTCAGAATTTTAGGATTAAGATTTTTGGGAAAGAAAACATAAACAGGGCGTTTGCAATATAAAGGAGGGGGCTGGCTTCAAGAGTCAAGTTATTGCATGATAAACATGAAGGAAAAAAGAAAATTAAACAAAGAGACTCCCATTAATAATCGAAAACCACTTAGGCTACATTATAAATGAGGCTTCCCTCGAGTTCTCTGATAAGCCAGGGAAGAAATCAGCATGTCGAATAGGGGATCGAACTCACAACTTATTGATTGAAGATACATGCCAATTACCGTTAAGCTGTACTCTTTCCTTTTTATTTATCATCAAACAAATGGCATTTTCTCCCGAAAATCCTAGTTATTCTTAGCATGATATTGAATCTTATTACTATTACTCAAACAAGCATGAAACGTATGCTTGCGTATTCGTCCATCTGTCAAATCAGATATGTAATTATTGGAGACTCAAATAGTAGATATGCAAGTATGATAACTTATTGTTGGGTATGTAAGATGATTGCAAACAAAGTCTCACATTCGCTAGGGAAGAGAATGATCATGGGTATATGAAAGAGGACAATTATCTCAATTGGTTTGAGGCATCTTGGGTGGAACAAAAAAAAAAGTTGTGAGAGCTATGTCCAAAGCGGACAATATCATACAATTGTGGAGATACTTGGGGTACGAGGGGTACCGTTGTCCTTAACTAGTGGTATCAGAACTATGGTCTAAAACCTAGCTGTGTCTGTAAATCCTCAAGTGGTGCCGAACAAAGAAGTGGTGAGTCTCGAAAGGTGTAGTTATGGTGTAATTCGTGAGTGTGCTCTATCAAGTTGTGCCCATAGTGACTACTTGAGGAGAAGCTCGGTGGTACTTTGTTCGAGGGTAGGATTGTTGGGTTTGTAAGATGATTGCAAACAAAGTCCCACATTGGATAGGGAAATGAGTATATGAGAGAGAACAATTATCTCAATTGTTTTGAGGCATTTTGAGTGGAACCAAAAGCAAAATCGTGAGGGTTATGTCCAAAGCGGACAATATCATACAATTGTGGAGATACTCGAGGTACGAGAAGTACCGTTGTCCTTAACACTTACTTATATGCTATTCTATATCCCCATGAATCTATTAACTTTTGTTCGCATTTTGACAATGTCCAAAGGAAGATAAATAGGAGGAAATTACCATTAATGATGTGTTTAGATCATGATTAATGCGAACAAAAAAAGATTTTTCCCAAACCTTTAAAACCAACTCTCTAATTAAAATTTTAAATTAAGGATACATGGTTTCAAACGGTTAAAAAGATAATTTAACTTTATTATATGTGATTTGGAAATTATTATGAGAAATCTCACTGCAAAACTATTAACTCGTATCTAAAAAAAATGAAATGTAATCCATTCAATTCATTTCATTAAAGTCAACTTGAAAGGATGTGAGATAAACAAATAATTGATGGCTTAATACATAATTGTTTATCACTCCATGGTCATTTCTCCATCTCGTCATTAAGTTGATTTGGCCCGAAAAAGAAAGAAAGAAAAAAAAAGTCCAAACCTAAGTTTAGAGTATGAAACACTATTTGGACGTGGAATCAAATTAGCCTAACTAGTAATTCAACCTACTTAGTCTTCCATGAAATTAACACATTAGATAAAGATTTTGGATTTGACATTAATTGTTGGAGGGGTTTTTTATATATACACATTGGATAGTGTACATAATCTTTTATAATAGTTTCTTAAAAGAAATCATAACAATCACTAGATAATTCAATTCAAGAAAAAGAAAACACAAAACGAGAAACCAGATGGAAACAAACAATAATATTTTTATAATATTTTATCTTAATTATGTTATAATTTATCAAATCTACATATTATCTAACTTATTCTTTTCTTCATCCAATGAGTTTTTTTTTTTTTAATTCAAATAAAGAAGTAGCTAGAGATTCAACCATAGTTTTTAAGGAGAGGCTTATAATTATTATTATTATTTTGTCCTAAACTCATGTTGGACGTGAACACATTTACTTAAATAAAATTGCTTTGGTGAGATTCTATTTAACTTATGAATGGAGTGTCTTCTTTATAAAAAAAATAAAATGTCATCTTTCTCGAGAATTTGGAAAATGGCATCCCACTTCTTTTATCTTACCTTTTTACAATATTTCGTCTGCCAATAAACTATGATTAAAATTAAGTTTGACAATAAAATATGGTTGGAATTAAGATTATTTTTGTTTCTTGTTAAATGATCAACATTATCAAGTTTTGGATCCAAACTTTGGTATTCTTATAGTATTTTTCCTCCGTACACGATAAGTTAGATCTACGGTCGGGTAACTATTCTTTTCTCATTAATCTTTTAATTTGTATGGGTTTGTTATGTAAATTAGAAATGTCGATATCTTTTGTCTAGACTCAACTAATTTGAATAAGCTTATTCAAGTTGTAATTAAGTTTTGTCCAAGGTAGATGAATGGCAAACTAAATAATGGACCGTCGATCATGTGATTAGGTTTTAATTGTATGTGATTTTGAAAATGGTGAGGGTGCAAATCAACCAGCATAAATTATATGTATATCATATAGGGTAAATGCAAATCATTGGAATGCAAATAGACCTTGACATTATTAACAAATTATAAGCATGGTGTGAAGTGATCTAGACTCGATGAAACATGATGAGTTTTTCATATGAATATTATTTAAGTATCATTAATGAAATTAATGAAATATTTGTTTAGAGGGTGTCACCAAAATAAAACAAAATATAAAAATTTATGCATTAACCAATTATTCTAATTTAAGGAAAGGTACCATTCGAGCATAGTTTAGGGATAAATCACCTATCATCGTTAGATCAAAAGTGGTAGGTTAAACTCTCCATTTTATTTGTATTTACATGTTTACTTAAAAATAAAACACATCTGAATTATCAACCATTATTAATAACTTAAATCAACAAATTTTTTTCCATTATGATTATTGTTATTATTATCATTAATATCTTTTTGATGCATGGTCCTAGTTTAACGCCAAATCCAAGGTGAGGGAGAATCAATCGATTAGATGACCTATACAAAAAATTTGTATCAATGTGATGTTCTGTCCAACACACTCCTATACTTAAATTAGTATTTAGATCAAGATGGTATTAAGCAGATGATGTTAAGTACTTGTTCTCGCTGGATTCCACTATTCATATACAATTTTGAGACGTGATTTGTGCATCTTGATGATTTGCGTCTTACCCATGCCAAGGTGAGACATTAGTTAGTGACTTGGTCATCTTATGCTGAATCGAAATGTGCCCACATTGGTACAATATCCTCAACTTTGCTCATTCAACCTCCACGTGGCACTGACTAGTCCCTTGCTGATATGGTTTCGGGCACTGCCCCAACTTATTTTTGAACAACATATATATACCACAAAAAAAAAAAAAATCAATCTCCTATTCTATTATCCATATTTATAATTGTTGAGGATATCACGCTAGATGAAATATAATATTAGCGTTGCATGTAAAAGCCTCAAAATTGCATCATAACTAAGGATTAGAATCGTTACCACAAAGCATGTGGCCGAAAGACTTTCTAAATGTAGAGAAGATATCTATAGAATCTCCGTGTGGAATATGAATATCTTTATGTCACTAAAATGGTAAAAATAAAGAAATAAATTCTAAAAAATGACGATAAATTGAATTGAGAATATTCCATCGTTGACAATAAATTTGAGTGTTTATGAATTTTTGCACATCAAAAAGAATTTCAATATCAGTTAATGAGGCTAGGAAAGAAGCAACACTCGGTATACTTCAAATGACATATTTAAGTTACACTTCAAAAAAAAAAAAAGCCTTAAAAAATTTCATATAATTTGAAAAAAGTTTTCATTAATAAATTTCCCATCGAATTAGCGTCTCACCCGTCACAATCTTTGGAAATATTAGAAAGAAAACAAACGCAACAAAAAAAAAAAGCTTGAATTTAAAAAAGGAGAAAAAGAGCCGACAAAGGACAAATTTTGGAATATAGTCAAAGCTGACGACTTCCGCATTACCGTTATTTGACAGTTAATCAGACCGGGCCCCACGCGCGATTCTTGGCTTCTAGCACGGTCCAACGTGGGGTACCATGAGTGCGCCACGTCTCTCACACGAGAATCATGACGTCATCCAGTTTTTTTGCTCTATTCAAAATTTGTTTCTCAAGCCACGTGTAAGCATTTCTTCAGCTCGATCTCTCTGATTAATCCCTCATGCCGTGAAAACGTGACAACGAATCGCGTGTTTCGGTGGATTACCCAAACCAGAAAAAACAAAAAAGAACCGATTTTTTTAACTCATAAACATAGAGAGATCGAATTTTCCGGCCCGCACACGGCGATTCACGGCGACAAGTGAATTTTTTCTTAATGGGTTTTTTGAACGCCATATGGAGCATCTCTGGATTTTGTGTCGGAATTTCAGTGGGTCTTATTGCTGGATATTTCCTTTTCATATACTTCAAACCCACTGATGTTAAGGTACGTTATAGACGGTAACAGAGAGGTAAAAATATTAGTGGAACATTATTTGTTTGGTGTTTGAAGAAACTTTGGAAAGAACGAGGTAAATTGAGATTAATTTTAACTGGTTTTGTCTGTTGAGGATGTCACAGGATCCTGAGATTAGGCCATTGACTCAGCTGGACTCTGAAACTTCACAGAGGATGCTCCCTGAGATGCCACTTTGGGTGAAAAATCCAGATTATGATCGTGTAAGTGAATAACAAGGAAATTATTTACCGATGAAGTTTTTGGAATCAATGTGTGAATGGGCTTTCAGATCAGTACCCAGTTGATGGTTTAGTTATATGTGTGAGATGGTGTACTAAATTAGATCATATGGCAGATCATGTGGTCTGTAATTCAAAATGTAACACATTTGTTTACTCTTATAGGAAGTTCATCGAGTTAAATTGAAGCTGTAATTTCATTAGCTGAATATTGAACTCGAATACCACTAATGAGGTTAATATAGTCTAGATTTAAGCTCTTTTTAGCTGCTGGATTGTGTTGTTGGATTTGGATGTTTTAGGGGTTGGGTTCAGGCATTTTTCGAGAAGGTGTTACGACAGCGGACCATTTCTAATAGTATATAGTCCGATATTATCCACTTTGAACCTAAGCTATTATCCCTTTTGAACCTAAGTTTTCATGACTTTACTATCCAAAAGCTCTCGTACCCATAGAGATGTTGTAATTATGATATTCCCCTTTCAATAGGGGACTTTGGTCGTATTTTCAGAAGGATTTTAGTTTTTTTTTTTGGTTGAACTCTGCGTGATTTTTCGGTTAATTTTTGGTGAACTTTCTAGTTTGGTCATGGGTAGGGTTCAGAAATTAAAATTTAAAGGTAAAAATTGACTCACCTCGGGATTCTACTAGTTTAATGTACTAACATCTCTGCATTATTTTTCCCAAAGGTGGACTGGCTAAACAAGTTTATTGACCATCTGTGGCCTTACATGGATAAGGTGCTTGTTTATTTCATATCCTTTTCTAATTACTTCTTTTATGATTCTTACATGTTACCTTTTCATGCTCTTCATTCTGCTCATGATCATTAATCTCTCTGGCTCAGGCAATTGCCAGAACAGTGAGAAATGTTGTTAAGCCAATAATTGCTGAGGAGGTTCCCAAGTACAAGATCCATTCTGTCGAACTCCAAGAGCTCTCTCTCGGGTCGCTCTCGCCAACTTTCCAAGGTTTTGAAATAATTTATCCAACTCCCCGTCTCCACCCGCCTTTTTAAATGCAAATTAGAAATTTCATGAACATAACTTCAGATTTGTAGAATAATAGGACCCTTGAAAGCATACTCTCTTTAAAGCATGCTACATCTTTAGGATATTCCAATTCTAGAAAATCTCAAAACAAACGGCTTCTAGGAGTGTAACTAATTACATTCGCACGAAGATGCCCGCCAATGGCGGGGAAAAAGGTCAGATCCTATTGCATTTTCATTTTTATCACGAGTGTTGAATCAAAATGGTGTTGGTGCAAAGAATTTTAACTTAGCTTTGGTCTTATCAGGTTTGAAAGTCTATGATGTGCATGAAAAGGAATTGGTACTGGAACCTGCAATTAAATGGGCTGGAAATCCCAACATCATGGTTACAATTAAAGCATTTGGATTGAAAGCCACTGTCCAGGTGATAGTACTTTTTTTCAACCAAGGAAATTTTGTGAGAACACGTTCTTATTTCACCATTTTTTGGCCCCGTTTTTAGCTGGTGGATCTGCAAGTTTTTGCAGTGCCACGGATCACCTTGAAGCCGCTGGTTCCAAGTTTTCCCTGTTTTGCAAACATCTCTCTGTCCCTTATGGAAAAGGTTCGTGTTTTCAACTCAATTAACATTGAATATGAGGGGCAATTTCGAGTTCATTTTCGGACGTGCCTCGTGGCTCTAACATGGCCTAGGAGTCTGATTTTTCTTAACTTGTGTTAAACTATTTTTTTTTATGTACAACGATTTGCTTAATTGTTTCGTGTTTTGTCCATACTTCCAAAGATGCCAACTTCGTGTTATTTTCGTTCGAATTACTTTTTTCTGAACTTTGCTGTTCAAATATAATCTTCAGATCGACTTCATTAGTTTTCTGAGGTCCTTTTTCACATTTTTGTTTTTCCAAGTATCTATTTCCTCATCTCTGTTGACAATCTTACATGATTTGCAGCCACACGTTGATTTTGGGCTAAAGGTCATGGGGGCAGACCTTATGTCGATACCCGGTCTTTATTGGTTTATCCAGGTACAATACTTGGGATGATTTTTTTTTGTCTTCGGTTCTTCTTTCCAACTCTCTCTCCCCCATGTAAAGGATGGAAGTTGAACCGCACAATGCTAATGAACTGCCATACTTGGTTTCACGAACGTCTTGGTGATAGATCGACTTTATGAGACTTTTGATCTGTTTTGTAGTTATATAAATTTTTTTCCCATCGGTTTTTTTATTTCTTAGGAACGCATTAAAGATCAGGTTGCAAGCATGTATGTGTGGCCAAAATCTCTAAAAATACAAATCCTGGACGCAGCTAAGTATGTGTAGCCATTTTTGTGGAATTTATATTATATTGAAGATATCTCTTTCTATATGTTTGGGCTGGCCTAATTGACTATTGCTTTGTAGAGCCTTTAAGAAGCCCGTGGGAATTCTCCATGTGAAGGTTTTGAGGGCAATGAACCTTAGGAAAAAAGACCTTCTAGGTGCATCAGATCCATATATAAAACTAAAGCTCACAGATGACAAGTTACCTTCAAAGAGGACGTCCGTAAAGCACAAGAACTTGAACCCCGAATGGAACGAGGAGTTCAAGTTGGTCGTTAGAGATCCCCAATCCCAAGTCTTAGAGCTCCATGTTTTCGATTGGGAGCAGGTATTAATTCTTACAACTTTCTAGCATAAGACCTTATGGCGTCCCTGGTGGGCGGATACCGAAGATAAAAGACTTGTAACTCTCAAAATGTTGTGTACTTAAAATGTCTCAGATTGGGAAGCATGACAAGATGGGCATGAATGTTGTACCTCTGAAAGATCTCCCTCCTGATGAGTTGAAAGTTTTGACTCTTGAACTTAGAAAGAAAGTTGATCCAAATGATGTTGAAAACCAAAAGGACCGTGGTCAGCTTGTCGTTGAAGTTATATACAAACCGTTTAAAGAGGAGGAGATACCAAAGGGTTTTGATGAAACGCACATGGTACCAAAAGCTCCCGAAGGAACCCCTGCTGGTGGCGGTTTGCTGGTGGTCATAGTTCATGGAGCTGAAGATGTTGAAGGAAAACACCATACCAATCCATGTGCAAGGATTTTCTTCAGAGGAGATAAGAAAAAAACTAAGGTATGTTAAGTCAATGTTATTTTATTTTCCTTCTTTTATCTTTATTGTTTTTTGTTTCTAGTTAACCGAACTCTTTTGTAAGTAACAAAGAACAATATCGTTATCAAACATATCAAGTCGGTAAAGTCATTAGAACAAAACTTAACGGCTGACTAGTGAACTCGATACATGTCGTATTCGTATAGCGTATAAAGAAGAACAGAGATCCGAGATGGGAGCAGGAGTTCCAATTTTTGCTAGACGAACCTCCTAAGAAAGACAAAGTACACATCGAAGTCGTCAGTACTTCTTCAAAAATAGGATTGCTGCATCCAAAGGTAATAACACTACATAGAAAAACCAGTCCCAGAACAATTTACTAGGTTGTTGAATGAAACATCTTAGGATTTTTATTTCGACTTAGGAATGTCTGGGCTATGTGGACATCAGCCTGTCGGATGTGGTGGCCAACAAAAGGATTAATGAGAAGTTCCATCTCATAGACTCAAAGAATGGACGTATCCATGTTGAACTGCAGTGGAGAACTTCCTCATAGAACAACACATTTTTCCTGTTTAAATCACATTCGTTTATATGTTCTTTGTTCTTTGAGCTGTAAATTTCGGGCGCGTTTCGTAGAACTTTTGGTTAGATGAAAATTACTTTCAGTTCATAAAAGGACGAACTTCAAAACAATGCAAAAAATAAGTAAAGAAGGAAATAAGTAGTGCATGCTAGTAGGAAGTAGCAGGTCTTTTCCTATTGGAAGGCATGATTTTTATTTACATTCTTCTTGGTTGTTGAATTGGATGGAGGTTTTAGGCTGATAAAGCATGTACTTGTTTATATCTCTTTGGATCTGTGGTTAAAATTAGATTGTTCTATTCGTTTTTTATATCATAGAAAACATATTTCTCTCATGGGCTGCTTGCGCTAGCCCAAGATGTATCGCTTTAACGGGCGAACAACCCACCCTTTGGAATATACTACAATCCCGCCCCATGTGATAAAGATTATTAGATCGAGTTTTTGAATGAATTCTTTACCTGACTGTCTGCAAATTTCTTGTTTTTGGAGGTGGGGCAATTAAAAGGGCAAATTTTTTTCCTGTTTCTGGTGAAGATATTATTACAATGTACTTTTTCAGTGTTGGACAATTTGGAGCACATTATTTTGGGTTTGAATTTGAAGGGTGAGAGCGTGGAAGACCATCAGCCACATACAAGCAAATATATTGATGAAGAGGTAGCAAATAGCAAATAGCAAAAGCAAAAACACAAAAAAAAAAGGTCAAAATTTTCATTTTCAACCCATTTCATTGATTTTCATTTCCTTCCATTGGAGTGGTTGAATTGGATCCAGATTTCTCACATGGCTTCCCAGTTTCAAAATTATCGATCTCACCTCACCTCACCACACCACATCCACATGATCCTTTGTTCTTGACAAGGTTCATAGTTTCTAATTTTCCCCCAACTAACACTCTGCTTGAACTGCACACATTGTTTTCTTTTACCTGACATTTGTCAGTAATGTCTCATGTTTCCCACCAATTCTAATGAAAGTTTTTGTAACCCACCGTTAAATTTTTGACAGACAGGGAGAGCGATGATATCTGTCGGTAAGTGGAAATGGGTCGGGCGGGGAGCAAATGCATTCTTGACAACTGCTTAAGAGAGCGATTTTCACTCGGTATTATCTGTTTCTGAAATTTCTTCTTTTTTTTTGGGGTCATGTGATGCTTTTGGGAACAAAGAGATTAGATTAGGTTGGTAGAAGGGAGAGGGCAGTGGCATGTGGATCTTGAGAAATAAAGTGGGGTCAAATTGGCATGCCCATCTATCTCCAAACATTGCACCTTTTTTTCTCTTGTGGTAGGTGCTGTGGTCACAGGCTCTTTGGTTGCTCTCATTTTCTTTGGATCCCCTATGTCTTCCACATTGTGGTTTTCTATTGTCTCCTTCAATATTTGTTCATTTTTTTGTACAATTCATTTGTTTTGACTTTGGGGTTTTTGGTGACTTGATCAGCACTGGATGAATTTGTGCTACTATTCTTAAAGTCCAAATGAGAAAGTTATCAAAGGCTGCCCAATAAATCATCATTCAAGAGATCTATTAATGGAATGCCTAAAGTCTAGTCGCTACTTTCATTGCCCACTTTTATTAAACTAGCTAAAAAAAGTCTTGTTCTAGCTCTCAAATGTCAAAATATATATAGCAAGCACAAGCACAATCACTTGTTGGGAATGCGAGTGCGAGACCTCGAGAGAGAAAAGAAAACCATAGATGCTTATACCTAAAATAGATTTGTAACGTCCTTCTCAATTGATATTAATAGTTGGGGTCTATATAAGTCATATTTTAATATGTGAATATAGTATGATAGGGTTAGGAGAAGACGACTATCTACGTGGCAAGAGAAGAAACGCTTGATGAGGTCAGTTACTTCGTGCCTTAGCATAACTTCAGGAACAATCGGGATTTTTCTAACACATATGAGGTGATAGTCCACGTCAATTGTCATCCCACGATAATGCAACCTACGTTGTAATTTTTTGTTGAAGTATTTGATAACCTATGGAGCCAATTTCATATACAGATATGCACAACTCGTACGGGACAATTGTAGAAATTACTAACTTTAGCATCATAAGTGTGACTTTACCTTTTTGCAGGTTACTTAGTCCATTCAACTTTCACACAACACAGTAGTTTCATGGTTTATCAAATTGGTTTATAGTTTAGATTGATAAAACAAAAAATTTTAAGGTTAAAAGTAAATCATCAACTACTAATTCGATCCTACCTCAATGACTTAAGTACAAGTGACATTTTTCAAACATTACAGGTTCAAGCAGAGAGAAAAGAACAATTAACTATAAATGCTACCTAACTAAGAACAGTAGATACTAAACACATAATAATAGAAAACTATTTGCTATTATTCAAAATCACGCGTATAAAACAGCGACAAATGAATATTAACCCCAATGATTTGAAGTATATGAC